CATCAGCTCCTCTCAGAGCCTGGCAGAGTCCCTGGGGCAAGGCAGGGACTGACAAGGATCCCAAGGAGGACCAGCAGGAGATTCGTTCAAAACCAGCAGAAAGCAAGGGTCAGACAGATAGTAAGTTGCAGTTACTCAGACTCAAAACATAGAAACAGACTGCAATGCCACAGTCGAACATTGGTTTCAAGACAAGATTCTTGAACAAAACTGTTCTCCATCCTTTCCTTGTAGAACTACAATTGGCCTGGCTTTTCACACAGAACTTAGAGACTCATAGGAGAAATAAAGCACTGAATTATTGTTAGAATTATCTGTATAAAAATGGTTTAAGAGAATTAAAATAATTTAACCTAATGTTGCACATTTCTCTTCCCAGTGAGATTTTGTATTAAAACAAAGTGACAGGCTTATATACAGAAACCCCCAAAGTACAGTATACATGTTTATGTTTAAAGATTTAAGTGAGCAGGAGGTAACCACAGCTAGCACTCAGGTGGGGGTTCACTCCTCCAGGATAACCTGAGAAAAGCAAGAGTCAGCCTGGCTTTCTTTTCAAAGAAAGATTTTTTTCCCCAGACACTTTAAGCAGGGTTCTGTTGGGGAAGAGAGGCCTTTTGAATGCAAAATGCTTACCCAAAGAGCAAAGTCCAGAGGGTGTCTCTTCTCCTACTCACTGCCTAGGTATTTCCCTGTGGTACCCAATGAGATGAACCAACTTCTCTTAACTTGTTTTGTGGGTTGTTGTTGGTTTTTGTTTTTGTTTTCAGTCTTAAAACCTACCCCAATTTGGGGTTTTATTTTCTTTTTGATAGTCCAGGCACTGGGGACAGTGAAAATTGCTTTGTGGTATCCCAAGAGGGAATGTGAGAGGAGGGGGGAAAAGCTAGTTTTGAACAGGGAATCTCTGTAAGAGGAGGGCCTTCAGTCTTACTGGGGATGAGATTTGAGAATGACTATAGTGCTCTTCTGGTAACTGGGCTTGGCAGGCAGAAAGCTTGAGTTTTCCTTTCTTTGGGGGGATGGGGGTGGGGTGGGAGGAAAGTATTCAGTTGATTTCAGCTCCATTAGAAAGGACCTAATTGATGCCATCAATGCCTTTAGACACAGGGAGATGGGTGAAAATTGCTTCACCTGTCATTTGAAACTTCAACCCAAATAAACAGCACAATTTTTATGCCTCTGAAACTGTTTTCAAGATATTTTAAAAAAATCTGCAACTCCTAAGCAACAAGCCCCTCACATTTCTATTCAAATAACTATCCTTGGTCTTGTTAGCCTTTGATGAAATATTAATGTCTTACTTTTTTTTATTCTTGTGCTATGTTGTTGATGCTATGGCCCGCTCTGTTGGTCAGGGTTAATGAAGATTGTTCCCTCATTTCTACAGTGTAACTGCCCATCTCAAAGCCTGTGTTAAATCACAGGCAAACATAGGGGGCAATTAAAAATTCAGCTCTGTGGGGAAAGAAAAAACTTTAAGGTTCTTTTCCACCTGCCCATCCTCAGCCCTTAACCTTTTGAGAACATCTTCTAAATAAACAGCTATTTTCTTTTGGATAAACTAGCCAGTGGTTGTTTTGACTCTTAAGAGCTGGTCCATTAGGAGATAACAGTTGGCCTTTCACTAATATGTGAGGTCTGCCTTGTTTTGGGAACTATGAAGAAAGGTTCTTTCTCATTCTAGTTATCCCTTTTAGGTGGAGAGGTGAGGATCCTTATTGAATCCCTAAGAAATTTACTTCTCCAGGAGATCTGGAAGCTTATTCCAGTAAGTTTCCTGGTTCACTACATCCCATTTTCTGGGTGATAAAGTGCCTCACTAGACCTTATAAAATGAGTTAGAGAACTATTCTGAATAAAGTTGAGGGGTGATGGTATACAGGCACACGAGGGTGTCCTCACAATAGCGCATAAAACAGAGAAAGCTAGAGACACACTGTAACTCTCCCTTAAAAGTACAATTTAAATGCAAAATGAGGTCCACTCTTCGTGCTTCCTTCCCAGTTTCGGTTGGGCAACCTATGGGGAAACTTCTGCTTCCCTTTTTTTTTTTTTTTCTCATTTCATAGTGTTTCAAACAAATCGCTGTGGATTCTGTATCTTCGAAGACACAGAAAGCCTACTGGTTAAAAAAGAAAGAAAGCCCACTGGTTTGCACTGTGGGCTACTTGTGGAGCAGGGTAACACAGAGAAAAGAGAGGAGGACAAAAATGGGCAAACATACAGTTATATAGTCTTATGTAGAATTCCTGCCCTCCAGAATCCAGATCCCCTTGGATGCACGTAGGCTCTCAAAAATCACATCTGCGGCTCTAGCCCCACTGCTGCGTTTTGCTCCCGAGTTGGAGAGGTTGTCAGTTGCAAGCTAGTTAAGGTAGTAGCTTTGGTGCCAGCTGAGAAAGGATCCCTGTGTCGCTTGCTCTCGCTCTCGCTTTCCCCCTCCCTCCCTGTAACATGCCAGCCCTTTAATGTGGAGTGTCAGGGAGACAGTGACGTCACCCTGCCCGCTGGGTGGCGTCCCCTCGGTCCGACACGAGTTCAGAAACAGAGAAAGGCGCTGTCAGACTGCGCTCCATTTGGGGGGCTCGGCTGCCTCGGCTTTCCAAGCCCACGCTTTCTGCAGTGAGGGTGGGGGACACCCTGCTGCTATTCAGTCCCTCAACACCGCCCTCCCCACTCCCCTCAGCCGGGGTTGAGCGCCATTAGCTCTCACTAGCGCCAGGATCTTCGCGCGGAGCCAGCCAGAGTCCCACCCCGCTGGATTCGAGGACCCGCTTGGATGCTTCGCCTCCGAGCGCCCTCGGAAGATGGGCTGGCAGCCACTCTTCTAAAGACATCTAAGGGTTCCCAGGTACTGCCAGAATTCACTGGCCCTGACTGGGCACACAACTCGGGGTTCACTATTTGGCGATTCCAGCAATGGAATTTTCCGCATTTGGGTGAGGGGCAGCTTCAGGCTGCCATGATTATGGGTGTGGGGGCCCGGGAGTATTAAGTTGGGGGTGATTAGTTAGTGAGCCGAATGGAGAAGTTCGTCAGGTTCCTTTCGCAGTTCAACTAACTTTTGTCATCGCTCTTCTCAACCCTTACAAAATGTATCTCAACTTGATCCTTCTGGTTCGTTTCTTCGCTCAGACTGGGGTTCTGGGAGGGTTTAAGGTGAAAGTGAAGGACACCCAAGAGGAGACATTTTGGTCCTATCTTTCGCTGCTGCTAAGGCTGCATGTGCGGGTTCCTAACGTGCGGGTGCTTTCTGCTCCTGGTGCACGTTTCTGGGGAGTTGGCATCTTATCGAGATAATCTTGTTTGGGAGGGAAATAAGCACTGAAGGGCCATTTGGCGAAGCTAGAGTTGGTTTTGTTAGGCTCAGGCATCAGCACGCCTTGAACTGCCATTTAACGCCCTGTCCCCTGGAAATATTGTCTCTGATCCATCCGAAGTGACAAGCTAGGCTCTCCAAGAGTTCAACCGCGTCGAGGTTTGTTTGGCCTTCCTGGAGCCCACGGGGGGTAATGAGAGTTGAGGATCCGTGGAGCAGAAGGGTAGACACTGGCAATGTAGAAGGCAAAGGTGGTTTATAATAGAGGCTGCAGGTGTCAAAGAAGGAGCATCGGTATGACAAGTTGAGTGAGGCGATAGGATGGTGTAGCCTCTGAAATTGCTGTAAGAACCAAAATCATAGATATTGGCAGAGAGGGGGCTATATACTATAGCCGTGGGTGATTTTCCAGGGCAAAGGATCGTTTTGGCCTATGCATTGGGCAAGTAGCTATGGAAAGGTCACTGTTCGTTTTCCCAGCGTGTCTCAACTTACTAGTATTGTCACAACTGTACCTACCACCTGCTTTTTCGGTATTTTTCAACTTACTTATTAGATATTTTCCTTGTTGTGGTTATCCCGTTGCTATGAGATGAAATTAGGAATTTTATCTCAGACTCAGCCTTGTGTTTCCATTTCTTCTGTCCCCGGGTTACCTATTCTAGTATTTATCGTTTATGGGGCACCTTTTTCTCCAAGAAAGATATAAAGCAAAACAGACGAGGAAAAAATGCCACAGAAGGTGGTTTGCAGTAAACTGAATTTTTTTCAAGTATATCGAAAATGATCCCTCCAACACATTTCTTTGCACTGTTTCTAGGTTTAACATTACCTGTACGGACTGGCACCTTGTCATGAAAATGACAAGAAAACTGTTTTAAAATGTTTACAGGTCTTCATCTTTTTCAGCTACTTGTCTGGAACCAGAATAGCTCAGTTCAACAAATAAATTGTTGTTGAAAGTAAAATATTCTATTTTGGTGCAATCATATATGTTTTGTATGTTTTCTCACCTTTCCAAAAACAATTCTAATTGCAGTAATAAAATATCCAATAGCAAGGGCGGTAGAGGGGGGATTTCGTTTTGCTTTAATGAGCTGTGCTTCAACCAGTAGTGAGTTTCCCCCAAGGAAACCACAGATACCACAAAAATCGCTTTTACAAAGGTTTGGGGTTGTGTTTTTAACCAAAATCAATTCGTTTTAAAGCAACTATGAATGACCTCTCTTTGAATTTTGAGTTTTATCAAGCCTTACTTATCCACAACTTCTACAATCTGTACAAGTTACAACTGTCATTACGTTCTCACTTCTAGTGAGCCTATTATTTTATTCCAACAGCTTCTATAACTTAGGTTTTGAGTTTGTTAGCAATGGACGGATTTAAATATATATCTTTACGTACACATGTGTAGGACTGAAGGCAATTTGCTACCTCCAAATCTCTGTACTTTGTAAAGGAAGATCGTGAAAATGAAAGGAAGTAGCTCTCGCGTCTGAAACTTGAACACTTGCCTAGTACCGTGTCTTAAAGCAAAAAAGTGGTTGTAATTCTTCACTTAGCAACTCATCCCACCCCTGTTTTAGAATGGAAAGGCTCAAGTCAATGCTTTCTCCTTTCCCTTCCAGTCTCCAAGGCAGACCCGGAGGGCTCGGCCTGGGGTTCCGCGGCGGAGGAGATGGCTTCCAGTCCGCTGCCGGGGCCCAATGACATCCTGCTGGCTTCGCCTTCGAGCGCTTTCCAGCCCGACGCGCTGAACCAGCCGCGGCCAGGCCACGCCAATCTCAAACCCAACCAGGTGGGCCAGGTGATCCTCTACGGCATTCCCATCGTGTCGCTGGTGATCGATGGGCAGGAGCGCCTGTGCCTGGCACAGATCTCCAACACGCTCCTCAAGAACTTCAGCTATAACGAGATCCACAACCGCCGCGTGGCGCTGGGCATCACGTGCGTTCAGTGCACGCCTGTGCAGCTGGAGATCCTGCGGCGCGCGGGGGCCATGCCCATCTCCTCACGCCGCTGCGGCATGATCACCAAGCGCGAGGCCGAGCGTCTGTGCAAATCGTTCTTAGGCGAAAACCGGCCGCCGAAGCTGCCCGACAACTTCGCCTTCGACGTGTCGCACGAATGCGCGTGGGGCTGCCGCGGCAGCTTCATCCCCGCGCGCTACAACAGCTCCCGCGCCAAATGCATCAAATGTAGCTACTGCAACATGTACTTCTCGCCCAACAAGTTTATTTTCCACTCCCACCGCACGCCCGACGCCAAGTACACGCAGCCAGATGCCGCCAACTTTAATTCCTGGCGCCGACATCTCAAGCTCACCGACAAGAGCCCTCAGGACGAGCTGGTCTTCGCCTGGGAGGACGTGAAGGCCATGTTCAACGGCGGGAGCCGCAAGCGCGCGCTGCCCCAGCCGGGCCCGCACCCCGCCTGTCACCCGCTCAGCTCCGTCAAGGCCGCGGCCGTGGCC